GTCAGCCAGTGACACGTACTTCAGTTGATTCACCATAAACTTCGTCGTGTGTGCCTGCACAAATTATTGAGCATGCGATAAGTTTGGGGCGGGAGGGGTGCAACGTGTTTCAGAACGGCACGTCGTAGACAATACCGGGAACATTGTTTCGCGAAAGTTCCCTGACCAACTGAAATAATGGTACGCAAATTTACCTGGCGGATGTACTTGGCAGCGGCGGAGAAGCCCTTCCCATGGACCAGGTCGTCTGCGAGCCGGTCGACAAGACGAATGTCGATACCCGACCGATGAGTGAGAGTGAAAGAAAATTCCTCCGACACGTAGTCAGGAAGGCGACCCAGGCATCCGACATCCCACGCGTCGAAACTGGGAGGGCGCTGCTCCGACTCCTCCACGGTCCCGTTGTATTCAACACACCGCTCGCACTTGTACCTGTCTGCGAACAATCAAGCGGACAGCCGTCGGTCAAACAGGCGGCGAACTGATCCGCACGGTTTACAAATTGTAACACACCACATACTCGGCGCACCACCAAAAACCTCACGCTGATNGCACTTGTACCTGTCCGCGAACAAACAAGCGGGACAGCCGACAGTCAAACAGGCGGCGAACTGATCCGCGCGGTTTTCAAATTGTAACACACCACATACTCGGCGTACCACCAAAAAACCTCACGCTAACTGGGCTTACCGGAATCCTATGATGTACCCCACGTCTTCCTCCATGAACACCCGTCGTGGCCCCTTGGGATTCCATCCATCTGGCGAACCCCTTTTCCCGCACCTTGGACACGGAATTGCCGCCAGCGCTAGCTCCGGGAACGAATACTCGGGAATCCACGCGAACAGTGGCTTCAGAAGGAACGGAGAAAGTTTCGGCAATCCTGCGCAAAAACGTAGTGGACAGCGGTCATGGAGGCATGAGAAACGAAAATCGAGTTCGCGTAGCTTATGGACGGAAAGCGGTCAATCGCCAGGAGTACAAAACTGCTGTTCAAAGCAGCAAAGGAAACCCGGACGTCGGGTGCATACCTGAGGTGTTCTGCATCGTAGCACACTTCGGGAGAATGAGGGGGCTGCTGTAGGGGAACTTTCCACTGCCTCCCCTAGGTGCCGCCACGCCGCCGCTGTGATGGATGATGTTGGCGTCGATGTTCTTCTTGACGGTACGGAAATGATCCCCCATTGCAGGAGACAACCGTTGGCTATCCTCAACACGACCCCCGCCCACGGGAGGGGGAGCGGACGTTCCCGCCGCTCCACCTGCCCGTGCCGCTGCCCCTCTCCCAGCCTCTCGTACTCCCATCGGTGCTCGTCGTCCACTACCCCTTCCTCCGCCCCACCCTGCACTCCCACCTCCTTGTTTTTCCCGTCTAGCTCTGCCACTGCCTTGACCTATGCTTGCTGCTCCGACGGCCGCCGCCGCCACAGCCGCAGCTTGAGCTATCGTCCCCCCTGTAACGGCACCTGCCGTGCCTCCTGCCGCAGCTGTTGGTCGAGTTTCAGCACAGGGACTAGAACTTGCAGTGCCGCCTCGTCCTCGTCTTTGTTCCCCTTGTAACGCCGCCGCCCCAGCCGCTAGTAGCGGTGCCGGTGGTTGAGGAACAGGTGCGGTAGACGGTGGTGGGCTTGCTGACGTTACTCCTGCTGTTGCCGCTTGTGTTGCTGTTGCCGCTGCTGGTGATGTTGCTGTTGGTGCTTGTGGCATTCCTGCTGTTACTGTTGCAGCTGGTTCTACTGTCCCTCCTGCTTCCGGCCCCTCTGTTGCTGCAACTACCTCTGATGCCGCTGCTCCTACGGGACGTTCTCTACGAGCTTTCCCCTTGCCTTTCCCCTCGGAAGACGGCGACTGGGTTGAAGCGGTTGCGGAGTTATTTGATGCCCCACGAACGACATGTACTGCCTGGCTCGTAACGCCTCTTCCGACGTCAGATATAGTCGTCGGTGTACTCCTCTCGCCCGCGCTTTCCTCGTCGTTCCCCATGTTGTCTTCGTTCGTAGCACCTTCGCAACTGACTCGCTGACGCTTCCGTGTTGTTGTGTCTGCCCACCCCATGACCGTACGGAAAGCTGCTGCCTGTCGTGATCGCTTCTCCTGGTCGCTCTTTTTCTCTGCGTTTGATTTCGTCCCGGGCGTTTTTGTTCCAGCCGCAGGCGTTGGTCCTTTCCTGCGACCCATGGTACATCCTCTGTGGTGCTGTGCGCGTGCTGTGGGTTGTACGTGTGTGTGCTGCGGTGAGAGAGCTGTGTCCTTTCTCTTTGCGCAGACAAAGCGCAGAGTCCTGCCGCGTGCAGCGCTGCGCGCGCCTGTCCCGCCGGCCCTCCAGCGTCATTACAACTCCTCCTGTACTAATCCCAGGTGCTGCTTTTAACACCCGCTTTCAAACTCCCAATCAGCTTCGTTCAAATGCGGTGGTTTGGGCCAATCAGAGGCGCCGCTATTNCTGTACTAATCCCAAGTGCCACTTTTAAAACCCGCTTTCAAACTCCCAATCAGCTTCGTTCAAATGCGGTGGTTTGGGCCAATCAGAGGCGCCGCTATTAAAAAATTCATCCCTATCCGACGTACCCGCCCCGTGCACGGCATTTTCACAGTCTTCAACGAATACGAGCAGGTCCAGTAGCATGCGCCTCTCGCCGTCCGTAGATATGTTTCGTTCGTACTTTGAGCTTGTTTCCCCTGTGGTGTTTTCGTCGTAGGGGTGTTTGCGTGTTAGTCCTTAGGCCTTGTGCCGTGTTGCCGTGTGGTGTGNTACGTGTGTGTGCTGCGGTGAGAGAGCTGTGTCCTTTCTCTTTGCGCAGACAAAGCGCAGAGTCCTGCCGCGTGCAGCGCTGCGCGCGTTTGTCCCGCCGGCCCTCCAGCGTCATTACAACTCCTCCTGTACTAATCCCAGGTGCTGCTTTTAACNCAAGTTTGCGAAGATCATTCGGCTAGGGGCAACAGCGCACGGAGAGCGCACCCGCCCCGTGCACGGCATTTTCACAGTCTTCAACGAATACGAGCAGGTCCAGTAGCATGCGCCTCTCGCCGTCCGTAGATATGTTTCGTTCGTACTTTGAGCTTGTTTCCCCTGTGGTGTTTTCGTCGTAGGGGTGTTTGCGTGTTAGTCCTTAGGCCTTGTGCCGTGTTGCCGTGTGGTGTGTGCGAAATTGGTTCCACCTGGGTTCTCTCATGGAGCTTGAGCGGTGGTCCGATTTTCCACTTGCTGTGTTTCCTTCTTGCATGCCTCTTGCCAGGGTTCGGCGCGCACAGAGCGAAATGAATAACATTTAAGCACGGAAGAAAAGGGTGTTCCCGCCCTGCCTTTGCAATAATATCTGCCGTGGCTCATACACTGAAAGCTGAATTTTACTTGTACATACGTAAAACGGGCATGGGGTTCCTGGTGTTCTTGTTGTATAAAACCGCCCAGCAATATGATGCAGGGAGGAACCG